AATACTGTTCAGATGTAAATCCAAGTTTTAAAGAACCTTCTTTAAAATTATAATTAGGCATGACTTATAAATGAACTATGGAGGGCATGCAAGATGAATAGGACACATTATAAGAAATTACTCACATTTATTTTTCAGTGTAAATTACATTTTTGGCTTTGTCAGAGCTAAGGCTGAACACCTTTAGACCATCCACCCCAATAAAGTAGAATATCAGTTCTTAGAGATAATCAGTGTAAATAGTAAATTAAGAACACACACACACAAATAAAGATACCACCTGTGGTTTTTATCCTGATAATAATATGATGAAAAGGGCATTATAATGTCAAAAGCACTCTTTATGCCCATTCAGTAAGATAGATTTGCCTGAAATCAATGATGCTGTATAGAGGCAGTTATGGAAATGAGCTGAGCTCTGCAGGTACTCCTTTTGAAAGCTGGCTATGTCTTTGACAGGTAAATTGCTTTAAAATAATTTCTAGATTCAGATTCTTTTTTAAAAAAAAAAGACTTTTAACCCAATACACTTCTTTTTTTTTAAAGGAATCCTTGTTTCTTTATTTGTATGTGTAGGTTCTCCAAGTTCAAAATGATCCTTGATTAACCAATGTATGCAGAAACTTTCCAGCCCAATTTTCCTGTAGAAATATTGCCAAGTAAACTAATAATGAGTTTTTATATCAAAGCCATTCCAAACTAGGAAAACTTGAATCTGAAACCAATTTCCCTCTGCCACATACTGGCTGAGTGACCCTGATCAAGTTACTTAAGGTCTTAGTGTTCTGGGTTCTAAGACTCAAAGTTGCAAAGAAGTTGATGACCTGCATTGCTAGAGTAAGTTTCTTCACTTGGAAATTCCTTATACCAATGAAATTACAGGTAAACTTCCCATCAATGTTAATGGGATATTTCATACATACATGTTCAGGTTACCTTTTCTGTCTCTAAGATTTGACAACATTCACTTGAAAACAAGATAATCTCCTGTCCAAAGAAAGCTGAGTAGTGTGTGTGTGTGCATATGTTTTAAATCTATATATAATCACATCAATACATTACACTATAAGTAGAGGAAGATTCTATATATTTACTATGAATTGTAGAGTGTATTTTGTTTGTTTTTCATCCAATATCATGCAATATCTCAATATACACAAAGATCAAGTTGCTCTACATAGCAGAAAGATGGAAAGGGCTAAAGAAATGGATATTTTTTACACAAGGATATCAGTGAATATTAATCATTCCTTGAATGATTAGAAAGGTTTTAAGGAGGAAACAATGAAGAGATATGTAAAGGGAGAAAGGGAACCACTAGTTAGAGGAAGGAATGTGTAAGCACTTGACACAAAAATGGAAGTGAAAAAGAGAGACCACTGAAGAGTTGAGACTAAGCTAAGAAACAAAAACATGAATATGAAACTCTCAGCAGAAGGGAGTAAGATGGTAGAGGTAGAGGGTACTGAATTTTTTGAGGAGAAATTGACTTCTTATGCTCTAAGAGATGATGACGGTCAGCTTTAGTTAGGTGACATAATGGTGGACTTGGAATCAGAAAGATCTGAGTTCAAGTCTTGCCTCAGATGGTGACTAGTCATGAGACTATGGCAGTTCACTTTACCCCTCTCAGTGTCAGTTTCCTTATCTGTAAAATTGAGATAATAATAGTAACTACTTCACATGGTTATCGCAAGGATCATATGAGATAGTATGCAAATTGTTTTACAGCCTTCAAGTGCTATTTAAATGCTAGCTATTACTACCCACAAGTCCTACTAGGTGAAAGGTTATTTGGTAATGAACAGAGTATAAAAAAATACAGTAGTGGTGACTGGGGTGTCCCTGCTGAAAGGTACCAAGTTAGCTAGTTGTCAACTTGACATAAATGCTATAGAAGGCAACCAGCAAGGGGAGATGACTGGATCAGTTCAAGGAAATGGAACTATTTTGCATGGAGAAGAAAGAAGAGATTTAGAGGAGTCTTGATCATTGTCTTCAAGTATTTGAAGGGCTATTATGTGTAGAAGGAATTACCCTCATTCTACTTGATCCCAGCAAGGAGAACTAAAAGGTAAACATGGAAGTTGCAAATAGGTTGATTTTGGCTTTAGGTAAAAAAAAAAAATCTTAAGAGTGAGAGCTGTTCCGAAGTAGAAAGGGATGTCTTGGCAGGTAGCAGATTCTCCTTCTCTTGAGGGGTCTTTAATTACCTAAAGCTCTATGGGATTTTACAGAATAGACTTTTTATCCAGGCTTATGCTGTATTAGAAGACCTCTTCTGTTCCTTCTACCCCTGAGATTCTGTGAAAGTGCATTCATGTACATTACTCATTTGATTCAACACTCCTGTGAGAAAATGTATATGAAAGTACTTTCAAAGCTGTAAAATCCTATGCAAATACAACATTTTATTCATTATACCAGTAGTCAAGGGAGTTTGTATGTCCAGAGACATTCTATACCCAATTAGATCTTCAAATTAGATCTGGGAAGAGTGTAGCTGGTTTTATTCAGTGAGCACAGGAGAAGACTGTATTTTTCAATTGAATTTTATGAAATACCTCCAAATATGATTAGCAGTCAACACTGTATTGTTTTCTCAAAAAAATCAGTAAAATTCTACCCAATTTCCTGTTATTTGAACATCAGTACCTTAATTTCTCCCTGAAAATAAACATTAGCAGTTTGCCATTTGCTTATACCTTCCTATTCCTCATGACAGAGTATGATGGGCACTGGACCACAACTCAGAAAATCTAGTTTTAAGTCTTGGCCCTTCACTTACTTGGTAAGGGACCAAAAGTAGCTCATAATCTTTTAAAGCCTTAAATTCTTCATCCATTAAATGTGAGTTATACTAATTATACTACTTCCCTCATAGGGATTTTTGAGGCAAGCACTTTGGAAACAATAAAGTGCTGTACAAATGTGAAATACGAATTTAATTCTATGTGAGGTTTTTGAATGAAAGAATAGGTGTTCCATTTATAATAATGGTTGAAGTTCAACATGTAGTGATTGCCTTAATTGAAGAGATTATTAAAAATATAAATTTGAGGAAGCATTTAATAAATTTTTGTCACCGACATGAGAAACAGATTACGGTAGTGAATAAAAAGTCATACTTGGACTCAAGCATACCTGAGTAAGTAAGATCTGCTAGATGAGTGTTCATCTTATTTTGCTTGGAACCAGGCCTCATGCCCACTTCCTGGTCATCTCTTTTTCACACTGACTATACTCTGACCATCATCCTCATCTGCTCCCACTGAAAGCTAAGACTTCACCTTTGGACTCTAGAAAGACTTCCATAGCTCTTCTCATCACCATACTGCAGTGAGTGTACTCTTATCTTTGCCCACCCCAGTTGTCTTCCCTCAGAACATATGCTCCTTGAGGGCAAGGACTATCTTGCTTGCTTGTATTTATATCTTACGAATTATCAGAGGCTGGTACACAGTAAATGTTCAAAAAGTTCTCTCTCTCACTCTCTCCCCCCATATGCCTATCCATGGAAAATATGTGAGATCCTGGTGTCTAAAGGGAATGAGTAGAACTAGTCACAGGAGAAAATAATGAAGCGAAGAAAAGTTTAGGAAAAATGGAAAAGTGAAGACAACTGGGGTCTTTTGTAGTTGGTTGATTTTTATTATGTACTGAGTTCATGTTTCATCCTTTTACATACTAAGTTTTGAAAGGCATCTCTATTTTTCTGGGTAGATTCAGCTCTAGTACCATAAGTAAGATCTTGAACGCTTTTTGTCCAATCCCAACTGCTTATTTATCATTTGATTACTATAATAGTCTTAAACAATACCAGAATACTCTTCTCAGGAGAGGGATAGAAAAATGAAAGGAAGGATGAATGTAATTAAAAGTAACTTTTAGAGTTTTAATTATACTGAGGTTAACAGTACTCACTTCAACATATCATAACAGCATTTATAAGTGATACTGACTTGGACTTACATGTGTCAGCTCAGTACTGAAATGCTTCATATATGCAAAGCCAATTACTGTTCACACAACTTCAAATAAGCAGAAATTATTTCATATCTAGAGATAAATCTATCTTAAATGCTGAAATTTCACGATCCATTTTCTGTAAAAAATTCCATATGTAAAAACAGCATCTATTTAACCTAACAATACATAAAATAATTGAAAAGCTAATATAAATATTTAAAATATAATTTGAGGCGAGCACAAATTAGCATAACATTCACTCCAAGTATATGTCAATGGCATATAAATATTCCAAATTAATTGTGCATTTAATTCTCATGATTTTAACTAAGGAATGTTGGAATTTTTATTTATTAATATACATTCTGTTTCATTATACACACCAGAATAATGCCAAGTTAAATTGAATGCCTATAAAATAATGTACAATATTTTTGCTACAATGACATCTTCAGGAACATCAATAAGATTAATACTTTCAAAGAAGAACAGATTTCTAACTTCACCAAAGACAATGGTAACTATGGCAGCAACATAGCAACACATACTAATATTATCCTGACATTGTACAGCATTGTAATTAACATGTCACTACTCTATAGGAATTTCAGCTTTAAGTATTTCACTTTTGTGATGTTCATTATACCCTAATTGTAGTACTATCATAGGTGGTAACTTTATTATTCCTTTTTTTGGTTTTGCATTTACTTTTCCTACTATAATTTTTCTTCCATCCCATTAATCCACAAAGCTATAAAGTTTTATTCTCTAAGAAACTATAAAGAGAGACAATGTTCTTAAGTTTTAATAAAACTACTAAAGCATTTTTCTTATCTAAGATTGCCACACCCTGCAATTTGTAAACATTTTCTTCCTTAAAAAAACAAAACAAAACAAACAAACAAAAACCATCATTCATACAGGACATACAAGTTCCAAGACAATGAACACATTTAACAAACAAAGCATTTAACACAAAGGAGGAACATTGCTAAAAACAATGATTAAACCAAAAACTCAAAGCCACCTACCTGGAATAAGCTGGGCCAGTAATGGAGAGTTTTGGGATAAGCTGAATACGATGAGAAAAGGAAAATGTTTCCATTTCATTTTTGTCCTTCCTTACATTACACCAGGTCAGTGGTACAGGGAAATGTTTTCTGCAGAACAAACAGAAATAAGCTTTTAAAGAGTTTTGCTAATTCAAAATATAATACAAGTTGAAATATTACAAGAGTTGAAGTATGTAAAATATAATTTTCAATATGTGAAATTGCTTTATTTAAATTAAAATATATATTCTCAGTTAAAAATGTCACCATAGTATTTCTTGTATTCCAAATACGTCTTGCGGGTTGAATAAAACTAAATGATTAATAAACTTTTAGACTAGTAAAACTGAAAGTCACAAGAGACAAAGACAGAGACAATGAAATGTAAAGTTGAAGCCCTTTCAGGCATAAATGAAGCATGTCAAACTTAAGTAACAGATTCTGGACTCTGAATAATCCAGTTGCGTAGGAAAAGACCAGTAGACACAATGAACTTTCCCTTGAAGTCACAGACTACTTCAGTACAGTTGTCCAGAGCCACTCATTTGCATAAGATGCAGTAGCAATCTTAGAAATGTAATGGTCACTGTAATTTAGGGTGAAGTTCCTCACTGAGGTATAGGTCTAAAGGAAGAATTTTTGAACAGCAGAGATATAGCTTCTTGCCTGTCAGGTGACCACCTTAGCCCCCAGTTCCAGGAGGAGCAGAACTGGATAAGTTTCTTCTAATCTTATTCTAAGGTTTTTTGGTTTTTCTGAAAGAGCATTGCACCACTGCAACTAAAGAACTCTAACACTACAACTGAAGCGGAATACTCAAGGAAGCCTCAGTCTGCAGGTGTTAGAAAGGAGTTGTCCATTAAGGAGGGCAGCTCAGTGAGCTACTTGTATGAACAGGTCCAGTGCATGAAATGTTCCTTGTGAAGAGCTAGCCTGGCAGTCAAGCAACCTGGCTAGCCCCACTCGAGATCAATCTATCAAGCAGAAACATGAAACTCTGCAAGGAATAAGCATGCTTAGCTGAGCCAGCCTTCCAGCTGGGACATTGTGCTCTGTGGAGAGGTAGCCCAGACTAATAAAGGAGTAATTTGTCCATCACTGATACAGATGCTTCCTTCCACAATGAGCTTTGTGAAGACTATGCAAAGAAAAGACATTGAGACTCCAGAGTTGTCAGTTGCCTGATCCAAATATGATTCTTACATACTTGTCTCACCACCATTTTATTTTGGTTTTGCTCCTTGCCTTTGTGTGTATTTGTGGGAGACTGAACCCCAAGTATTTGGAGGAGATGATTTGTAACTACTCCTTCCTATGCTTTTTCAGTAAACGCTTTTTTAAAACAGCTAATTGAGTGTTCTGGATGACTATATCTATGAAACACTTGCTATGTACAAAGCACTGTACTAAGTGCAAATAAAAAGAAGTAAGACACTTTCTGGTCTGAAACAGCTCACATGCTAATGGGGGAAACAACATATATGGAAGGTTTCACAGCTGAGAGTCAGATGGAAAAGTCCTATGATCCTTAGACTCTAGTGACAAAACAGATTATAATGCTATTTAAAGTTATGCTGACTCAGTATTAGCTTGTTAATCAGTATTGGGGGAGGAGTCATCCAGTCTAAAACTTTATATTACCTCCTACTAATTATGTACCAAGTCACCCCCTACCTGTTTGTACCTGTGGGGGACAGAGCCCACTTACTCAAAATTAAAAACAAAGACTTAGATACCTTGAAAGTAGAAAGGGGTTTATTGCTTTCTCATGAGAAAGGGTACCCTCTTAGTCGCCATCTTGGGCCAGGAGAGTATGAGTTCCTTACAGAAGTAAAGGCTTATTTATGCCCTAACTCGAGCTCCTCCTCCCTAACCCCCTTTCCCTTATCCCATTGGCTGGGCTTTCAGGGGCACAATCTTTTCACAGAAATCTAGAGCAAAGGTAGTTACACAAGTTTGCCCAGAGACAAGAAATGGTGGGAAGTTTTTGCAAGGGAAAACAGTTCAGGTTGGGGGCAGGACTTATTCTTTCTGCTAAGCATTTAAAAAAAAACAGGGTCTGAGTGGGGGAGGGTTTTGAAAGCATCAAGAAATATTAACAAGAAACACTGATTCCCTGAAGAGGCTTCACTTCTGAGAGATCGTCTCTCACATACCTGATAAACATCACTATAGGCAACTGGGGAGAAACTGAGATTCAGTGGTCCAACTCCTTTTGCTGAGCTGGACCTATATGAATTGTCTTTATCTAATTAGGAAATTAAAAATAAAAGCTAGCCCCATCTTGAAAACCTTGCTTATCACCCATCAGTGTGTTACTACCTTTAATAAACTCCTTTTAATTCTCTTTGTCCTGAGTTTTGCCTCCTTAATGATAGCAAAAGCCAGAATAAAGAATTTTACTTTAAGAAAGCCACATCTAATATTTCCACTGATAAAATCATATTAGTTTCTGATGTCTAATATCAGCGCCAAGGAATTTGGTCACAAGAACTTTCTTTTTGGGTGTTTAAAATATGTGGCTGTCAGCATCTTCAGGAGCAACTGGCAGCCTGTATGGCCACAGGGGTTTCTTGCCAGGATTCTAGCTGAGAGCATTGAGCTGGAAGTACTATTATTGCAAAGGCTCTTGGGTTCAGGGTAATGAACTGTCTCCAATGGGGTTCAAGGTGTTAAAGCTTGTGGTGGTGGTGGTGGTGGTGGTGTTTTGAATTGCCTGGCATATGCTGTTTCCTGACTCTCTTACAGTGTGTTTTTCTGCTTCTGCTAGGCTGATTGGTTTGAGTATTAGTGGGAAGCATACTGTGGGGCTTTTTTCTAAGGTATATTTTAGTATTATTGGCCTTCACTGGGATGAACTGGAGAAATTCTTTAACCAGAATTCTTTTTCTTAGATGCTTTAGTTTTGAAGGGATTAATTAAAGAAAATTAGCATTTTTCTTATGTTCTAGATTGCAAATGCACAGTCTGTTTTCAGTTGTGTTTCTTTGACAAGTTAGCTAGATGATATCCTTTGAGATAACTCTTGCATGTTGAATTCTTAAGTGCTAATATTTGTTATATTACTTTATCCATTACCAGTATGTATCCAGTATATACTGATGTAAGTATAGACTATACCAGTATAGACTGATATAGATATAAACTGATATAAGAATTATAAATGTTGAATCCATAGAGCACTGGTACTGAGCGGTACAGTTAGGACACACAGAGGAGTCTTAGTAAAAGGAGTTCCACATGACTTAAGACAAGGACATCAAGAGTATTTTGTAAGATAGAACCTAAAGAAAGCATTGAGAAATTGGAAGTACTTAGTAAATGATATTAATAAAATGACAAAATACTGACTGTTTTCTGTAAGTAAACTAAAAAATGTAAATCTTCTAAAGTTCCTGATAGGACAAGGATTTCAGAGATTACTTGGAAAGTGATTACTAGGCCTCTTATAAAGGATAAAAGGGTACTCTACAGGGTTAAAATGTTAATCAATCTGGAGATAGATTCTCAGGGCAGATCTGAAAGGAAAATTCACATGAAGCACCAGGGGTTTTTTCAGATGCTAATAGGCCTCCATACTTTGTAGTGTATAGTGTTGCACCAAAGTGGAACCACAGGCCTAGGTTAGGTCTTTTCTCAGGAAAGAACCTTTATACCCTTATACTCTAGGGAGGAAACATGGGATATTTCTGGCCAGAAACATTATCAAAGCCCTACAGCACTGGGAAGTACTTGAAACAGAACGAAGATGTTGACTAATAAAGGCTTAGTTTTTGGAACAGAATAATCTAAAAATTTCAAAACTTGAAATCACATGGCAAAGAGACTAGAAAAGCAGTTTGGTGGTGGTAGGAAGTCAAGCCAAAATAAGCTGAGTTTACTCAGTCTACCACTCAGTGAAAAGGAAAATGGCCCTTCAAGTTTCTCATTGATAACCTGTCAAATATAGAGAGTGATAAAGGAAGATGTAATGCAATGGGAGGAAGCAGAAATAGCACAGGGGTACAGTATAGCTTGAAAACTGAAGGCATACCCAATTCATCTTGGGTACAGATGGAAGCTGCCAGATTTTCATCAGTTGCTGGACGAAGTAGACTGGTTTATTTATAATTTCCAAACTGTAAAGAATGATATAACTTGAGAAAATTCATTTCAGCCTAGTTCTCTGACATCTTTCTTGGCATGTATGCACCACAGTTATTAGGCAATAGATCTGATCTGTTCACACAGATTCAAGGTCAACACCTTTAAAGAAATTGAAAAGCAAATAGGACCATTCTACTGTAAGTAAAGGATTAAGGGACCAGAGGTCACCACTACCTGATTTAAGGACAACACCAATTGAGAGCAGGTAAGGAAGCAGAAATATCTTCTGCTATAACTATGCCCTGACTGTACATGTGAATGATATTTACATTCAATGGAGGAGTGCATGAAAGAGGTTCCCAGAGGAGATGTTACACTTAAAAGAAAACATATGTGGGGGCAGCTAAGTGGCACAGTAGATAGAGCCCCAGGCCTGAAGTCAGGAATAGTTGAATTCAGATTTGGCCTCAAACACTTACTGGCACAGAAACCCTGGATAAGGCACTTAACCATTGTTTGCCACAGTTTTCTCCTCTATAAAATGGAGATAATAATAGCACCTACCTCCCAGGGCAGTTCTGAATATCACCTGTATTAAGTACTCAAGTACTTAGCACAGTGCCCTGGCACTACATAAATGTTAGCTATTCATCTTATTATTACTAAAATATATTTATACAAAATACTGGACACTGCATTATAAGATAAATTAATGTAATTTTTATTCACATAGAGGAATCATAATTTCTCATAGTTGTATAATATTGAAAAGATTATGTTTTTCACTAACCTATATACTCTATGAAAAAGACCTTTTAATTTAATGTATTTGAGTTCATTATTATTTAACTCAATGCTTTCTAAAACATCCTCATTTTCTAGAACTTTCTATGATTCATTCATAAGAACCATGGTTACTGTTGGATATAAATTCAAGTTTATGACTTCTTTTTCTCAAATTTTTAGTTTTATACTAATAGTATTAGGGAACAACTTAAGCGAGTTTGTTAAGACCACATTAT